AGAGAGAGCGGCTCGTAGAGAGAGAAGTGAATCAGAACAATGAAACTTTTAATTCGGAGGCGCCGCAATTTTTTACGCATCTAACTTTATTTTTGGGTTCAATGTCCTTTCGGAATTGGCAGTTTTAAAGCCCTGCAAGTGTCGCACTTATTTCGAGCATTCAGTTCACATGCGGTGAATGCAAACCGTACATATGACGCGATTATGTAAGGGTTTGACCGATGCGAGGCAGAGCAAGTCGCCAAGCAGATCAGTGCTTTGTCGAAGCGGGGGACCTAAGACAGAACCCAACGGAAGGATTGTCGGCAGTTTCAGGTAGATACACAATGGTAAACTGGAGGAGTGTCGACAGGTTCAGCTGATTACAAAATAATGAGCTGGAGGAACGTCGACAGTTCCAGGTAGATACACAATGGTAAACTGGAGGAGTGTCGGCAGGTTCAGCTGATTACAAAATAATAAGCTGGAGGCATGTCGGCAGGTCCGGTTAGTTACATCGTGGTTCAGTCATTTTCAAGCGTGAGCAGAATGCGTGATGGGTTCTGGATTACTGTTCCACGTTTGAAGATATTTTGGCACGCATTAGATATGACGGAAAAATATGCTGCTCAGTACGTCATCCTTTGATTGTGTCATTAAACGTGTTATAATGTTCTTGCCAGACTGGCCGTATTATAATTGTAATTTTACGCGCCGCAGGGTGGCGTTGGTGGCAAATCCGTGTAAATTCCGTTTAAGCGTGGTGTGCGTATGTCTCGGGCTTTTCTCATGGCGCTCTCTATATTTTTCGGTGATGATTTCTTTCTAACTTGCCTTTGCATTTTCGATTACGGCGCCATAGTCTTAACCTATTTGATTCTCGGCCTCGTGTGCTACAACTAGTCATTGCCCGAATGTCTTTTATTCGTCACGAATCGCGCTTCGTGGTCGACACATGTCATCAGTTGGTCACTCCCGTCTGTTAACCAATTGCGTTTTGTGTTCGGATAGTCGGTGCTTTAAGAAGGCCGGTCTAGATCACTTGTGTCAAGCTTAGAAACTAGAGGGCTTTATGTGGATAAGAGAGCATGATTGCGAACTGAACTGAATTGTCTTGAAAATGGTTGCCTCAATTCAAAACCCCATACAAATATGGAACAGTGTCTTAAAAGGAATGTCCGGTATCGGCAGTTCCTAGGTAGTAACATGATGGGTCAGTGACATTTCTCAACAGTCAACCCAACACTTGGTCAGTCCTCGGCACCCATTCATATATATATATATATATATATATATATATATATATATATATATATATATATGGGTGGGTGCGGCTGTGGGTGTGTGGGCGTGTGTTGCTGGATATTTAATATTCCACTAAATGCTCAATATGTCAAACTGCTAGGCCGCTAGGACGCTGGGCACAGAGCGTGAAGAACGAGCTTTTGCCAAGTTTAAACAGGATCTTGACGCTCCAGACCTTAAACATGCCAACTGTGTCCATAAAAGACTGTCGTGCATTGCTGGGTAGCTGATTGTTCTATCTCATCTCTCAACGAGAGCATTTAGACATAGATAACAGAAGTCGATCATCGCAGAACACCGCTATTCGCTGCGCGAGCGTGCGCCTAGGGGCATCCACCCGAGTGAGCCCGGTGTTAGCGCCGGTCTCGTGGTGCCGCGGGGACTTGGTGACTGGGCTCTGCCGACTGGACAGGGCAGGACCGGCACAGGCTCGCAGTGGGGCTCGCAGGTGCAGGGGACGCCTGCCGGCCGAGCCACCGTCAACAGCATGCGACATCACCTCAGCACTAACACTGAGGCGTTTTTGGTGGCGCGATGCATGTGATTTATGACGTCGGATGCGTCTCAGGGATTCACAATGATTGCAGAGGCAAGTGAAACCTGACCGGCAGTGTGCTGCGTCTGGAAGCCATCACTTCTCGGACATTCCGTTCTGCGGCGGGCGCCGAGGGCAGTCCCTGTGGTGGCAGGGAGGTGGACGTCGGATTGGTCCTGAGTCTGAGAAACACAGCCAGGACAAAACAGCGAGCTCCAGCTGCTGAAGAGAGCGGAACTCCTTGCTGGGTGAATCAATAGCCAATACCCGAAGCACGGCCCACAGGCCTCGCAGCACCAGAAGACTGCCCACGTCATATACAATGATCAGGGAATGCAACAGATTTGCAGTTTTCTCATTCTCGTTGCATCCTGCAACAACGCGACGCCGAGTTTACCCGAGGCAACCCTACTTGCCTAGCCATGAGTGGGCTTATATGCGCTTTGGCGGCGTTCTGTCCGGGCTGAACACATACCAAGCATGCCTGCGCGGGCCTCGTTTCGTCGGGGGCCGAGAACCCTGGTGAATGTGGTCCTTACCCGCCATCGTCCACGCTCTCTCTCATAACTCATCTTTTCCTCCACTCACCATTATCCACTTTAATTTCATAGCCCTGGACTGGTGACTACTGGAACATGGGCCCTAATCCAAACGAAAAGAAAACCAAAGAAATATGTATCCTGATGATGGAGCGGAAAGCTCCCTAGCTATGAAGACTGCTTCGTCATCAAAAGTAATGTAAGGCAAAGTTCATGCCCAAAATGTGGTTTCGGTAGTTAAACCGAAATCCTTTTCATCAGTAATAAATGTTGTAGGAAGTGTGTTATTGTGCGGTTCTGCGTACATTCAAAAAAATCCCTCTATTGGGCCTTGCGAGCCCTATGGACCCTTATGCAAGGCTTGCAGGCGGGAAAAACAGTAAAATGCATCGTCTGCGCTATAAGAAAAACAAAAATGTAACCTGATGGCGGACATAAACGACAAAGTGCAGGCCAACACTTGACACTCATCCTGACTCGCCGTTTTCAACCACGCGGACTGATAGGGGTTTGATGGTAATGAAGATGTAGCTTAACAAAAAGCATCAATTGATTGATCTCAACGAGATCTAGCGAATTGAATTAGTTTTATGCTGTGGTCACTGTTTGACCCAATTAGGGCATGCCAAAGCCAACTTTTCCAGAAAATCGCCGTTTTCAGTTTCACATCACACCTACGAGAAACTGCCCTGTGGGGACACAAAACTTAAACAGGCGTGTTTCTTGTTCAATTTTGAGTACCATGGTGTATACTTGGATGTGCTCTGAGAGCATATTAATGACAAATGATTCCTTTAATGTAACAAAGTCGGCCCGCCGCGCGCGTTCCGCGGCATTGTTGATTGCCGCCAGCCGCTCGCGCCGGCCGTAGGTTGCCGTGCAGTGTTCCTCAAAAACCGCCGCTGCTCCGAAACCAGAAAAGTTAGAAACACATGTCTGGTGTCAAAACACGCAAAATAGATGCCCCGATAGGCCTACTAAGAGTTTGGGCGCTATTGCACAACATGCCGGAGACTTATCTTCAGAAAAACGTACCTGGTTGTATCCACCCCCTCAGTACGAGGGTTAATTTAAGAACCACGGGATTTCCCCTAAACTCCTTAAGTACATCATCGACATGCAAAAGCAGACGTGCTGTGGAAGCCGGTGGCAGACTCACCATTGGAGTACCCCTACCAACTCGTAAAACCTCGTAAACTTGGGACGTACACCTGGCTTGCGTGATAGGAGTCCGTGACCATCTGACACTCGCGGAGTCAACTCAGAGACCTGCGTCCGTCGCTGCGCGCCGAGCAGGTACGATAATAACGGTAGACGTGAACACGGTAAAGCCCCAAGACATGGGGGAGAGCGATGACGCCATTTGTGGTGGGTTGGTTATTTTCATGTTTCACGACGGAAGAACTGTTACCATTCTGAGCGTGAGAGCGGGAGGGGGCAGCGGGCCTCACGCACATATTGCTACGCTTATCGGGACGATGATTATTGTGATTGCGGCAAAAACGGAAAAATACCTCAAGAAACCACAAATGAATGGAATAATCACCTTGCACCAACGCAACGTCGACCTGTGCCAAGCTTAGCACTGAGGTCACCTTCACTGACCCTACGCCGGAGACCCGAAGAGATCGACGTCCCAGCGCGGCTCCCTCGTGCTGATGGGCGCTGTGGTGCCAACACAGCACCGCTGTTCGGCGTGAAACACAGGGCCTCGGACCAACGTGAGGTACAGCGCTGCTGGCCGACGTGATACACAGCGTCGCTGGCCGACATGAGAAACAGCGCCGCTGACCGACCTGAGACACAGCGCCGCTGGCCGACGTGAGACACAGTGCCGCTGCGTGACTTGAAGCACAGCGCTACTGGCCGACGTGAGGCACAGGAGTCGCTGGCCGACATGAGACACAGCGCCGCTGACCGACGCGAGATACAGCGTCGCTGGCCGACGTGAGACACAGCGCCGCAGACCGGTGTGAGGCACAGCGTCGCTGGCCGATGTGAGACACAGCGCCGCCGACCGGTGTGAGGCACAGCGTCGCTGGCAGATGTGAGACGCAGGCGCCGCTGGCCGACTATGAGAAACAGCGCCGCTGGCCGACGCGGGACACAGCGTCGCTGGCCGACATGAGAAACAGCGCCGCTGACCGACGTGAGACACAGCGCCGCTGGTCGACATGAGAAACAGCGCCGCTGGCCGACGTGAGACACAGCGTCGCTGGCCGACGTGAGAAACAGCGCCGCCGGCCGACGTGAGGCACAGCGTCGCTGTTTGCGCAGCAGCCGCTGCAACGCCAGGTGCTCTGCTGGGATTAAACGTCACTGCTGTTGGCCAGGCCAGCCGACATTGGGGCTGCTGCCGATGGGCCGCCCGCGGCCTCCTGGTATCACGCCTCTTAACCCGTAGGCGGCATAAGCGCCGCCAAATGTCATGCACAACTTTCTGATTCCATGTTACAACATACATCTCGTGTTCTCAGCAGTCAAAAATAAAAGCGAACGCGGTCTACAGATGTCCTCCTAGCCGTGTTTAAAATGACTGATATCATCGCAGAATATTCATGTGGGGGTCCACCAGAGAGGTAAATGAGACCTAGCGGTGGAATCGAGACACGTCGTTCTCACGCTGCGCACGTCTGTTGCAGATCTGGGACCATCGGTGGGGCCGCACCATGGCAGCCAGCTCCAAAGTCGCCGTCCTTCCTCACAGTCCTCCTTCACCTGCTGAGGACGGCCGGTGAGCGGACGACGCCCGTTGTTTTCCACCGCGACGCCGGCTAACTCATCATTCATGCGTCCGGCCCGGCGACAAAAGACTGGAACGTATTCGTTTTAAGCAAACAGTACAGCCGTGATGATGTTTTGGCCGCCGGCAGGTTCAATTTGGGACGGCGGTAGATACGGACCCCCTCGAGAACTATTTCCTGGTATCTCCACAGAGCTAAACAAGACGTGAGATGAAAACGTTAGAATGCCTTAGAGAATGGGCCAGGCGGGGAGTCTGTGGATTTTTCCTGGCCTCAGAACGTTTGGGGACTGCGGACACTTTTTGTATGGCTTCAATGTCTGAAAGGCTCCCGGCATACCGCCTTTAATAATGCCAGACCGTGCCACCATAATTTTGCTGTTTGCATTGTTGTTAAACGCTTGGCGGTGCGTGCGTACATCCACAAGCATTCTCAGCACCTCGGTGCCACAGCGTTGGGCAGCAAGAGGCATTGCGATCAACACATGAGCGGCGCAGCAGAAGGAAATAGTTTACCTCACATCCCGCCCTGCCGCTGATGCGTCAAGTTGGATCAGACGACGCCATGTTCAGTTTTCACACCAGGAGATTAAGTGCTAGATAGTTTGTTCATTCATTCAATCATTCATGTTGCGTTATCCCATGCGGTCACTTACACTGGTTTTAAATGACGTTGACCCCTGACAGAAAGCAGCTTTGTTTGTCTGTGTCCGGGGAAGCCAATGCTCGAATCTAATGGTTTTTTAAGCCAGGTTTATCAGAAGCTATCTATTGGGTTATTGAAATACGTATGGATGTTAATCAAGATCAATCAAGACAAAGCTGGCATGTCTAAAGGGGTCGTTCGACGCGTTAGAGGATATTGATAAGCTAAAAAAAACATGGCATTGTCTTATTCCTGAGTATCAGTTCAGCCCATCTACATAGTTAATAATGTTGTGTTATGCAGGCGATCAATAAGTTTAGGTTCCGGCTCAAGCCTGTACCAGACACAACGTTGCGGAAACCGTTACAGAAAATACTTTTTAACAAAAGGCAGCATAAATAATTAAATTCTCTAACCACTTCCATAATATTCAAGCAGCACAAAAAGCTGGCCAACCCTTGTCGTAGGCAAAACAAGATGAGATGATGTATTTTCTTTCAGGCAATGCCATTGGGCTTTCAAAGTTGATGATATGCACATTTTTTAACCCTGACTGGACAAAGACACGTGAGGTCATGATTCCGAAATAACGGAGCATTGGTTCTGAACTAACGGAGAAAAGCCAATTTCATTCACATTAGAAATACACATTAGAAATTGAACGATGATACTTGTCTTGAATAGTAATCGGGTATTCATAAACAAAGAGGAAACAGATGAAGGAGACGAAAGTATTGAAGAGAAGGTAATGTTGTAAAAAATGTTGTTATGTTGTGCTACTGTTGATAACAATAAACGCATCTACATGGCTGGGTAGTTTTCACGGCATAGCTCATCTGTGTAGGCCACAACGTTTTGTCTTCGAGACGGGTTTCGGAAACAACTTTGACTGGTTTTCGGTCAAGTTCATCCACATCTCTGAGTCAGAGGGTGTATGGTGTATTCGCCGTAACAATGCATGCAAGTTAATCGTCATTTTAAAGTTAAGTTATTTTCGTCGTTATTTCAAGTTCAACGTTATTGGATAACGTAAAACAGGGAATGTTCATCTCAACTTTGACGCCTGCTGAGCTTCCCGCATGTATTTTTGCTCCATTTAGAGAGCAAAAATGCTGATGGTTGGCTTCGCAGCGTTTCTGTTTATTTTGACCAATCCCCCAGCCGTTTATTCTAGTCTGCTGTTTTGCGTCCAAGCTTCCGAAACACTGAAGTGGATCCGTTTTAACGACCATTTAAGTTCGCCCCTCATCAACGATGCATTGTCTGCGTCGACCGGGCGCTCCGCTGCCTGCACTTCGTCACCGGCTCGCAAGTCCCCATCCGCTCGCTGCCACTCGGCACCGAACGCCTCCTCGTGGACACTCGTCCCCATTCGCTCCAGACAACTCCACGCTTGGCTGCGTAGCTCGGACACATTCATGACCCGTTGCAGGCCTTTTATCAGCAGACGCTCTCTGCGGCCTACAGCGGAAGCAGACGATAATGGGGCGACAGGGTCGGACGTAAATGCTAGTCCAGTTGTCCAGCCACTCTTCCCGAGCGTCGGCAGCTGTCCAGTCTCCCCTCCTTAGCGCCTTCAGTTGCCCGGTTTCTCCTCCCGAGCTCAATTAGTAGCCTCGCCGCTCATCTCGAGCCATGCAAGGAGCACCACATATACTCCTACGCACTGCCAGTTGTTTCACCTGTCCTCTTAAAAATGGCTGGAAGCACTTGACCGCAAACACTGGACCAAGATAAATGAATCCAGAACACATTTGCTGTTCGCGATTTCTTCCGAGCCCGGTCAGTAATCCCGCCTTTCAATCCGAGACCCTGCAGTCGTTCAGTCTGTCCTCCTAAGCCATGTCAGTCGTGCCACCTCACCTCTCCTTCTGAGCCGTATTGCCATGCACCTCTTCTCCCGAACCACGTCAGCAGTCCCACACCTCTTCCCGAACTCCGTTAGCAGTAGTTGTGCCTTTCATCCCAAACCCTGCATGTAGTCTAACCTCCCTTCCCGAACCCTGACAGGAGTCTCACCCAGTCCCATCTCCCCTGCCGAGCCCTACCGGCCCTCCCTCCCCCCCCCCTTCCACGGTCTCCGGGCCGATGCTGATTTGACGAGGGCCCGCCTCCCGATGGCGGCCCGTGACGGGCGGTCCCACCGCCACGCCGCGCTCGCAAAACTTTACTGCTCACAATAGCGGCTGCGGGCGAGCGCCGCCAGCTGAGCCCGCTCCCTCGCAGCCCCTCCCCCCTGACCGGCTGACGCTGTTTTCCAGGTGTGGCAGGTGTGGTCTGGGACCAATGGTGGACCTACGACGGTATATCAGGTACGTGCCGCGCCTCCGCGCCGCGGGCCGCCGCAGCCGGCACCACAGCCGGGGGACACTCGCATCCCGATAGTTGATGGCTTATTGGCTCCGCTGTTTTCGCTGTGACCGAGCGTGGCCCGCGGCCAGAGGGAGGGTGGGGCGACCGTACGAGGGAAGGGGTGGGACATTCGACCCGTCGGTGGTGGGGACCGCAGTCGTTCGGTACGAACCAGTGCGCGGTGTCGAGATCAGAGGGACGCGCTGACGGCGGCTCTTAGGCGCGAAGTTCGGCCGCGGTCAGATCAAGTTCTCGGGCTGAGGCGCGCTTAACTTCAAGACCGAGCATGGGTGGTTGCAAACTTTTGAACTGGGCCGGTTGGATAAATGTTGTTAAGTGTCGTGGACTTGCTGCATACGTTTGAAGAAGCGCGCCTGGAGCATTCGGCAGCATACCATTTTTGAGCGGAGCATTTCTAGTGATTTGATATGCTTGTCAGACTGTTGGCGGTCTTCCTTGGGCTTTCCCGTCGATATTTAAAAACGTTGCAACGATGAAGGCGGAAGCTATATCAGAGGGCGTGACAGTTACATGGGCCCGGGAGACGTTGAACACGCGTCCGGGTCGTTGAACGCAAGCTGGGGTGAGTAGGGCGGGTGGGAAAGTGGACCAATTTAACCCCTAAGGTATAGAAAGCTATGAAAGCCAGACGCGCTTAACTCACAGGGTAGGCAGGCCTCTATGTGAACTAATTTTGTAACATATTTAGATATCTCGTTCGTGACCTTCGGATCAAAGAATGTTAAACAGGGTGAAAATCACGATCGGTATTTGAAGTGCCCCCAGACCTTATCACACAATCAGCTTCAATCAAGGCGCGTCTTTGCACGTACCAATCTCTCGCAGTCACGTCATTTCTTTAGGGTCATTTGGATAGTTTAATTTAAAATACACGTCAAGAACTACATTAAGTGACATGCCTCTCACACAAAAGTTCAGTGAGGTCATTTTAATTCAGTGACGTACCCCAGCCTTCATGAAACCAAAGCAAAAATTTGGCTGCCGTCATTTTAATCAATAAATTCAAAATAACGTCGAAAACTAGCCGGGGAAGCAAGTTTTTCAGCAACGAAAGCTGTTTGGTCTGACCTTGATCTAATTTTCATACTTTACCTAGTGCCAACCTTTTGAGTTATAATCATAAATTGATCCTAACTGTCAAAATGTCAAAGCAGTTTTTGCAAAGTGGTAAAGCATTGCCTAACACTCACTAATGGGTCGTTGTCATCCAGCCAGAAACATTTCCAAAGAAGTGTCTTCGCTGACAAGCATGGCCTGGCCAGCTATTTCATTATGTTTTTATTAGACAAGGCCATTCACTTGGCTAGATCTACACACAGTTGGGCGTGACTACGTAGCAAAGTTCATGAGGTATTTTTTTAAACCTTTAGAGTTTAAACTGACCTTTCCAGAGCGCATGTTAAGTGATGAAGATTGTGACATTGCACATCGTCCCAATCCGTCTCATATGAACAGTTACAAATACGAGCCATACCGATCCACCATATTTCAGCACAGCTAAACGTACAATGTAAAATGTGCAACACACATGGGCATCTTATAAATTCTGAAATTCACTTTTAGGTCGCTTTGAGTCTTAAAGTCTCTTAAAGTCCAGTATCCAACCCATTTCTGCCGGATTTTTCTTGGGCCATTGCATTCCAACCCGATTTGATTAATGGATGTCTTCTGAGTCCATGGACTTATCCGTCTTGGAGACATCTAGTGTTCATTGCCGACTTTTAAGGATTAACAAGGTCAAAGCAAGAGATGCAGCGTTTGGAGCCTGTAGGCACGGCGCGGCGCCTAAGTTGGAGCTCAGCGGGCCCAAAGCCGTAGAGCACTTCGCGGATTGGATCCGTCCGCGGATTGTGGAGCCAGCCGCGGGCTGGGTGGAGCCCGATCAGTAATTTCCACCAAGACACGAATAAGGAACGCACTAGATTTTCATATCGGCCAGCTCACATGGATTGAATGGATTGAAAACCATTTAAATAAAAATTTTACCAAATAGTCACTGAAATACTCAATGGAGGCTTTAACTCATGCAAGCACGTTTAAAACAACAAAATATATGACTTTTTTCAAGCAACGCATAAACAGAAGCCAGTTTCTCAAGGCGTAAGTGCAATCTCATCGCAAGTATTAATGTGTACTTTTGATTTTACAAACCACGCATTAAGCCAGTTTCTCAAATCCGTCACGTGACTGTTCTGAGCATGTATAACCTTAACCCGAACTGTCATCGATTAGGACAAAATAATATGTAGGTTTCCACTTGTATGGGTCGAAATCAAACCACCCACATTAGCTTACAAACTTGAAGATGTTTATCTCCAGCTACAATTATGACGCTTTGGCCAAAAAGCAGCGTTCATCAGGATGGGACAGGTACCAATACTGCAGTGGTTAATGCGTCTGGGTACGGGTAACTGTGACTGTGTTAACTGTATTAAAGGGGCATAACTGTGAACTGCAGATAATGTTCTTGAAAATGACTGTCTCAGTTCAAAACGCCATGCAAATGTAAAGCATTCTCTTCAAGTCTCTGAGTCAGACAATTGTTCATTCTTTGACGAACAATCAATGTAGCATCGTCAGATGCCTAGTCAAGGGGGAGGGAGGCATGGTTGTGCCAGGGGATGTATTTGGTACCGGAGCAGTTTCATACATAGGAGTGTGTATTTTTTAAAAAAAAACTGCACATAATACTCACACCTGACAATCAAGCTTAATTTCTGCTAAAGAGCTCGGATACAAAGGTCGCAGCTGTGCAAGAGCTTAATGCAAGCAATTGTCCATCGAGCCCAGAATACAAAGGCGGACGATGCCTCTCTGTGTTAGTGAGAATTAGTTTCTTAATGCCTACAGTAGCGCGCTTTGAGGAACACGCTTCCTCAAGCGCACACATAGAGCTCATAATGACGCACACCTTTCTAATGTCCTCTACAACTAAGTTTCATTGCGAGCCGAGCACCGAAGGCTGAAATATCTCCTGCGTGCCGTACGCACGCGGTACAAATGGATGTTCATTCATTTGTTCTTTTCATTTTGCTCATCCAATTTCTTCACATTTCAGAAGCTGCGCGAATGACGTGAACGATATGAATGAGCTGCGCACAGGAAATTGGCTTCTGAAAGGAAGAAGATGCTTCCTTTGAACTCTTGATCCCAACGTTTACATGTAGAAGACACTGCAGGTCCTCTGGCACATTTAGAGCGCAGATTTGGCAACATTTGTCTGCAGGCTTATCCGATCATTATGTATATGTTTACCCGCACAAGCTAAACCGACGATTTATTGCTGACGGCGAGCGTTAATGGACCAAGCCTTGGCCTGCACATCATTCCACGGGAAACGTATCGGCTAATAGCTGCTATCAGTAGACTCTAAGGCGTCATTGTTTTGTAGTGGCGCCTCTTGTGCGCGCTACGAGCGGCACCTCAGGTGTGACTGCGACGAGCGCGGCGCGGATGTCTTGGATCCGGCGGATTTGACATGGGAGGCAGTTGTGGGACAATGCGAGCCTTGATCATTGAGTGATCAATAGAAGCTTGCCTTTTCCCACGTCGGTGGAGCAAGACTAGTAGCAAGCCTTGGGACTCGCACCCAGTGCCGCCAGACTTCAAGCTTGATGTCCTTCCCGACCCGATCTCATGGGTATCGCAGAGTACAGTATATTGCCCTAGCTGCATCAGCTTCCAGGTTGGAATTGCATGTCGATATTATGATGGTTAAAACAGTGCAGAGCTCTTTGGGATTATAACAATATAGTGTAAGCTAAGCAAAAGTGGCCTTTATTAATTCTGGCGGGACCTAACGTAACACAAATATTCGGGCATTCATTCGAGAAGTGCCGGTCACTGGTGTCCACAGCAGACAATCCTTTCTTAGTCCGCAGTACGTGGGTAGGTGTAGATTAGTATAAGTCTCTCGTCTGACACGCAGGCAGTGGACAAAAACCTTGCATTTGACGATGTCGAGATCCACGATATCATTTGCTTTGGAAGGTTCGTGTTCTAGCTTGTGCTCAACCGGCGTCTCTCCCGCACGATCGCCAGCGAGAAGTCCGAGCAGAATGGTGCTCTCAAAAATACAACAAAAAATACTGGAATCTCCTGCCCAAAATCGGGTGGTACTCCATTGGTTTGGTTTGTAGCATGTCCCAAACTGTGGTAAACCTTAAGGTATCGATAAGTCCTTTGATGTGTTTTTGTCGCCAGGTCTTTTTTTACTACTTCTTTTTTCAAAAAGTAACGCATACATTCTGTCGTGCGAGCCTAGTTCCGAGGTGTGAAAGGTGATTTTAAGATTTTCACACCAGATGAGGCGAACGTTGCGGCCGAGTGTGCAAATGTTGCGGCCGAGCGTGCTTGGAGCTTTACAAAAAGGGCCGCGAAAACAATGCCAGCTCACATCTCAGGTGGCAACATGATTTCTTGGGATCTAATGGAATCATGACTAATGGGGCATGATGATCCTGAAACGCGAGACAAATAATAAGCAAGGTGATTTTGAAGTTAAAACTATGCGCACCAGAAACTAAAGTACCGCTCCTCCTGTCATTACATGCTTTTGCGTGGCCGAGTGCGACTCGTGCGATCCACTGGCCGGACTGCTGCTCTGGTTTGAAGCACCCACCCGCCCACCCGTGTTTGGTATGGGCTCACTTTACTTTCCGCCAATACTTTTGGGCTCCACGATACAAAAATGAAGCGATCGCGATCCACCTTCTTGGGCTTGTTCATTGACCTGCATCGCAAAGGGATACAAAGCGTGGTCCCCTCACAGTTTTTTTTAATAAATCCCGAACCGCACCCAACAAGCTCACCAAATTTGCTTTAGCTTTCGGGTGACCAATTTCTACACTGCGGTGAAGAATAATGTCGATGCTGTGAAGTGTGGTCGCGGGGTTGTTACATTATCAGTCAATGGGTCCATTTGTCCTGCTTCGGTGGAAACGGCGTTGCTGCTTGGGTCAATGGTATGACACAGGGATGTACTGCGTCGCCAACTGAGGGTAGATAAAACCAACCTACAATCGGGTATGTGCTTGACCTTACTTGAATGGAATCGATTTCAGGCCTGACTCACAGCCAATCGGGTTGACTCCGAATTTAACACACAGTGACTATCCGAATTATTGTGTCGACACAGTTTCGATTCAGCCTTCCAAAAATGATGCTGTCTATTCTCCGACTCAAGGAAGTAATTTCAAATTCTGGAGTCGACCTCACTCACTACACTCGGCAAAAAAGGAAAAATAAGCCACCTGCTTCTTATCTGTGTCGCAAATCTCCGTGGAAACCAACCAACAAGTAATTGGCAATCATCCTCAGTGTCGCAACGGTGCTGCGCTAGCACTGTTCGAGCATTGCTGATACTGTGCAGTGCAGTGGCCTAAAAAGCAAAAACAATGGGAATATTATCATAGCAATGCTTCGAACAGTGAAAAAAGAACAGTTTGTTGGACGCTCGTGTGCTTCTTTGGACGCTGGTGCTTTTGTTGCTCCGTGCACCAAAGCCACGCTCACTCCCCGTGCGTATGGACCGAATAGGCGCAGTCGTATTCGTGGCCTCCAAACGACACCGGCGAGTATTCTCTAGCCCGGCTGCAGGTGTGCAAGCGGCAAGCGCAGATACGATGTTGTGGAAACTTGCGCACATGCCTAATTTCCTGCAAGCGAATAGAGCTATCCGTAAAGAGGTTTCGCACCACATGCAGATCAGTATACCGCAAGGCAAATAACATGGTTACGAAGACCCTAGGGAAAGCTGGTGTACAGTTCGTCATTCCCAACGTATTTTAAAATACTCAAGTATGTGCCCAAAGGAGACAAAAAAAACAGCGTTTGGTTTTATCATCATTTTGTATTGTATCGTATCAGTAGTTTTCCTATCCACGCGTCGGGTCATTTTTTGTGACGTGGCAAAAACAGAGACCGATCCGACAGTGACTGACCGGATCAGGACCAGACACTGAGCTGATCGCAACATTGACTGGTCGGATCAGGACCTGAGACAAAGCTGATCACGATAGTGGCTGGCCGGATCAGGACCAAACACTGAGCTGATCGCAGCAGTGACTGGCCGGATCAAGACCTGAGATTAAGCTGATCACGATAGTGGCTGGCCGGATCAGGACCAGAGACTAAGCAGATTACGACAGTGACTGGCCTGAACATTTAATGATGGAACAAGAGAACAAAAGGGCGAATGGTTTGGTTTACACAGATGGCACTTCATCCCAGCCCTGCGCAGTCGGCACTTCGGTCACCAACCGTTCAAGTTAGCATCTGTGCTGAACAGGTCAGGACAGATCAGGCCAGCATGGCACTGCCAGATCAGCCGGGGCCGGACAGTCTCTGGACGCCGGTACCGCCGGGGCCGGACAGTCTCTGGACGCCGGTACCGCCGGGGCCGGACAGTCTCTGGACGCCGGTACCGCCGAGGCCGGACAGTCTCTGGACGCCGGTACCGCCGGGGCCGGACAGTCTCTGGACGCCGGTACCGCCGGGGCCGGACAGTCTCTGGACGCCGGTACCGCCGGGGCCGGACATTCTCTGGACGCCGGTACCGCCGGGGCCGGACATTCTCTGGACGCCGGTACCGCCGGGGCCGGACAGTTTCCGGACGCCGGTTCCGCCACCCGCCGACCGCCAGCCGCGCTCGGCGGACCCGAGCGCGGATCGGCAGACCGCCGCCGTCGACACACGACGCTCAGCTTGATCGCAGGCGTGCTCATTTCAGGATGTCCTAGATCAGGAGATCGCCGACCGGCAACTGATCAATACAGCGTTGAAAGAGCACCGTTGCAGTCTACAAACACCATTTCCGGGGATCCAGGGATTGCTGACCGGCAATTGATCATTAAAGCGCTGAAAGAGCACCGTTGCACTCTAAAGACCCCACTTTTAATGAATGCCTGCGATAAGGGGGTCGGTGTTGGTCGACGAATTGTTGCAAAAAGATGACAGGTAAGCTGGGGTCGGCTCGTCAGCCAGTGGAGAGTGGTATGGAAACGACGGCACTTGCGATCGGTGTGCTTGGGTATGTACAGCCGCAAAGCGACGGTTATAGCGCCCCAGTGTAACGTGCGTGCCAAATCATACAAACTCTGTCCCTAAAGGTCGTAGGTTTGCGGCATCGATTTCCGTTGAGCGTTGGTTGCCACTGATGCTCCGCGTCGACATCGACCGCGACCGGGCCTGCCCGCAGGCATGGCTTACTGGGGCGTGTTCAACCCGGACTGGAGCATGTGCCACGATGGCAGGCGTCAGTCCCCCATCAACGTGGAGCCGGAGTCGCTGCTGTTCGATCCACACCTGCGCTACGTTCACATCGACAAGGCCACGGTCAGTGAACGGGCGGTCCGCCGGGTGGGGGCGCACCACCCGCCCCGGTGTGGGGCGCAGGGGGAAGCCGGGCTCTTCGCCACCGCACAGTGCCCCAGGAGGGTACGTTCGACTGGTCCGGGGGTCGGGCGCGCCGGCAGGGCGCTGGAGCTGCCTCGCTTATTGTCGTGCTCTCCCAGCTGGGCTCGGCTCAGTTTGGATGGTGCTCATCACTAGAAGATTTTGGTTAGCTGGCTGGCTGCTGTGCCTTTGAGTTCATCTGTTTCTAATTTCTGTTTGTTCATCTGTTTCTAATTTCTGTTTGTTCATCTGTTTTATCATTCTGTCATCTGTTTCATCTGTCCTGAGTTTCTGTGTCTCTATGTTTATCAAATCACCATGCAGGAAATAAGAAAAACGTGACCGCCTGACTACACGTGCTACATAATGCTAACAGACGGTGATAGTAGCTTCAGAGGTGCGAGTGATGTTTTGCACGCCTCTGTAGTTTCAGTGTCGTAATGCATTGAGACGCAACAACGTACCGCATAATTGTTTCTGGGCTAAAGCGTTATAATGCATTTGTCTTGCTATTGACATGCGACACGCAAATGCAGATATAATGCAGAACCTTATAAAAATGAAAAAGTTGTGAAGAAAGAAAGTAGAGAAGAGTACTTAACTGTTGCTCACACGATACACCTCGATATGTGCTGTATTTGCTGGCATTCAGATTCTCATCCTTGGACCATCCTATAAGTTGAACACTTTGCCTTCCGTCTTCCAAGAAAGTGCAAAACCGTGAGCGTTTCAGAACAATTTCAAATTACATCAGTACCAGCAATTTTGTGGGTAGGCGATGATGATTTAATTACCGTATGTAAGGTTCCGTCATTCGGCAGACTATATTAGTTCACGAGAAACGACGATTTCGTCGCCAGCAGAGCCCAACGATCGGCTATTTATGCCAGCAGTTCGATTACCGAGGCACCGGGCCACGAACTCGCCGGTGACTAAAACCATGTTGGTAATTTCAGCTGATCCACATGATTCGTGCCTAAGATACACATAGCATTGTTTGTGTTAGCCATGGCTTCTACTCAGAACACATTCAACTAGGCTCATGCTCTGTTTCAGTGCCCAATGCCACCATGTCTCCCAAAGGCCAAACAATACTTAATGGGCTTACATAACAACCCCAGAAGAAGCAAAGTAACGCTAAGCACGGAATCCAATCACTTAGCTGTGCAGTGGGCCGGCGGTGTCTCCCCGTTCCCCAGCGGTCAGACGGCGTTACTGTCCCCGGCCGGGCCGCCCCGGGTGGACCAACAGCCAGGCGTCCACGGCCGGCGGCGGGGCTCCGACGCCCCGGGGGCCGCGCGTCCGCCGCCGCCGCCGGCGGTTTACGGCATTATTGCCCGCCGGGCCGGTCCCGGGGGCTGCTCCGAGGCTGCTCCGCCGCCGGCGGCGGCGGCGGCCGAGCGGCGAGGGACCGCAAGCGCGTCGGCCGGCCAAATCTCGGCATCATCGCGGTAGCGGTCCGCCGGGACCGGTCTAGATCACAGGCCGACTCCGGACGATCGTCCGGCTCCGGCTCCGGCTCTGGCTCCGGCTCCGGCTCCGTCTTGGGCTCTGGCGGAGGGAGTGGGCTGGCACGAGAGACAATTTGTGGCCGGCGGGCGTGAGAAAATGCAGCCGGTGGCGCCGCCGCCGCCGCCGGCTTAGCGAATGCGTACAGCGGTTTTACAGCTGCCGGAGGGATACTCAGGCGGTCTTGGGAAGCGCTAAACCATGCCATTATGATCTTTTTGTTTATTGTTAGTCACAATGTCTATACTGAGAGAAGAGCGGAATGATATAAATTCCTAGTGTTGTCCGACGTAACGAGCAAACTGTAGGTGAAAAGCCTCGTGGTGCTGCTTCATTTTCTATCTGTGATAGAAAAGACGATGTAACTTGTCAAACGCCAGCCTTCGCGCTGCACTAAATAGCGCAATTAATTGTCCAGCCCATTATCGTGGCAGCCTTTCCCGTCGGTTGGATGGCTGACTGGGTAATTCTGACAGCCTCCTGGCCCAGCCCAGGCCAGCATGCGGACGTCATCATACCCACCCTCCTCGGACCGGGACCGTCGTGCATGTTCCGATCACGAGATCCGCGCACGTGCTCACAGGTATCGGGCCATCTGAAGAACTCGGGGCACGGGGTGGTGTTCAACATATCGCAGGAGCACCGGGGGCGTGTCAACATCACCGGCGCCTCGCTCAGCTACAGGTCCGTGGTGGCCAGCGACGGCCGGTGTCCGCGGAAGCTGGCCGCGATAATGTGCCGACGCTCTTCTGGCAGGGGTAGTGCTGCCTCATGCCACACAGCAGTCAGGGCCAACACCGCCACATGCGGTATTCAAGTTAGTGAGTCTAGTCTTTTCGGTTTTCCAAAAAGACATCCCTACAGGAATTTGGGCCAAGTTGTCACTTATGACAGTGTTCGATGATATGATGACTGATGACATTGATGACGGTGCATGCCTGTCCTGATCCGCGCACCTCCGCTAATCGTTTGCGCTTACCTGATCCGAAACATCCCCCCGTGATCCTTACGCCCCGCTTGATCCGTGCACCCCTCTGATCGGTACCCCCTGAACCCTGCGTTCCTCTAATCCGTGCGCTCCCGCCGGTCCCTGCGTTCCTCTAATCCGCACGCCCCGCTGATCCGCATGCCCTGCTGATCTGTTTGCTCCTCTGATACGTGCACCCCTCTAATCCGTACCCCTTTGATTTCCACACTCCCACTGCTCCACAACACCCTTCTAATTCGTATGCCCCTCTGATCTGTACGCCCCGCTGATCCCTGCGCTCCTCTGATCCGTACGCCCCAATGGTCTGTACGCTCCCCTGATCCGCACGCTCCTCTGATCTTTATGCCGCTCTGGTCCGTGCGCTCCCGCTGATCTGTACCCTCCTCTGATCCGTACGCCCCTTCTGATCTGTATGCCGCTCCGGTCCGTGCGCTCCCGCTGATCTGTACCCTCCTCTGATCCGCACGCTCCTCTGATATGTATGCCGCTCCGGTCCGTGCGCTCCCGCTGCCCTGTTCACCGCTCCGTGGCCGGCGGTAGCGCGCCCGTCGCCAGGCCCGGATGTATCGTGGCCGCGTGAGAAATGTTGCGGGGACGACGCGGCCCGTAATGGAGCCGCCGCGATGGCACGCGATCTGTTTCAGCTATCAACTGGAGGAGGCGCACATTCATTTCGGGATGAAAAACACGGACGGCTCGGAGCATCAGATATCGGGTCGTGCGTTCCCGGCAGAGGTGGGACTTCGATACAAGCTCCATCAGTGCCGGCCGTGTGCGATATATAACCGAGACTTTCGATGGTAACTGAGCTATGGAACAACTAGAAAGAGGGATTTGAGGACAACTCGTCTTCATATTGTGATAACACGGACCGCTGGATGGTAACTTTACTACGGAAAAAGTGCAATGCAGCGAAAGTGCTTGCTGAAGCGCATATCACGCAGTGCACCCATGCGCACGCGCACTCTAGTACATAAGTACACAAATGCCCTCCCACCTGGCTTGAAGAACATGTTGCACCATTCAGTTTTTTGGAAACGTGTCATACCCGGCGGCCGAAGCAGCATTTAAAAAGGCTACAGTTTCACATGGTCACACTTGGCAAAGCATGCTCGATGCCTTTTATGTGCATAAAGGACATCTGCATTTATTGGAGAAATGCATTACGGTATGGTATAAGCGGCTGCAAAAAATACTATGTGTTCTTCTTCACGTGCCTTGAACACTTACGATATATGTTGATGAACACTTGCATCTATGCTTTTAGTTATATCCTAAGATGTCATTACACCTATGTCATCACTGCCAGAAATGTTGGCATTCATCGCCATTCATTTCCATATGACGTTAACACCGCTGATTCTCGCGCATTAGCAGCTTTACTTGAATCTGATTTAAGCTGATTCGATGTTAATTTAACTAATTCGAGAAGCAAGAATCGCATCGAATCTGATTATGGGCGCATCGAAAGCAAGAGATTTGAGTCAAGGCCGGTTCACGGGAAATTTAGGTAATTCTTGATTCGCTTCTGGACACCAATAATCAAGCACACATTTATCTCTCACACTCATGAATTCTTGTATGATGGATACTCGAAAACCGCACATCGACGTATCATGTTTTTAACTTGCTTGGTGTTTCCTCGGCCTCACTTTTTCTCACTATATGTGCTGTTTATGTGGGATTTCTTTCTTTGCTCCTTGCCTGCATGAGTTGCAAACGAGCGCTTTGATAACGCAGTGAACCATTTGAGCTGGAGTCTATTGCCGTGTTTTTCCATCATCCTCCAGAAACCCGAGTACTTAGCATGCATGCGTAATTGGAGACCATAAGCAATGAAATATTTCATGTAGCCATATGCTATTTTTTACAGGAACAGTAATCCCCGAGCAATGTGTAATTTTTAGCACATTTGGATTATTTTTATCGACCACTTATTCAGCAGTGCTATTTGCTGGGAGTCACCGTTACTGCTTTGGTTGGTATCTTTTATGTGGACCAGTTCGCATACGTAGATTGCTGGATATTAAGCCATTAAATGGGTGAAATCCATAATAAGAACGACGGGTGTTTATAAACAGCTAGCATGCTTAATGAGTAATTGATGCGTAAGTGGTGTGAATTGTAACGCTTGTGCCGATCTCAAAATATACAGTGTTCGAATATGTTTAGGTGTAGGCTGTAAGGATATACGTAACGCAGAAAATGAAATAACGATCGCCGTCTTTCAGATCCAGCTGGTGGGCTTCAACGCCAACCTGTACAATAACCTGACAGTTGCGTCCTCCAAGAACCACGGCATCGTTGTCGTATCTATTCTTGTGCAGGTATAAAGCAGATATTATTAGCAGTGCTGGCTTTCACAGGACATCGGTCCTTGGAAACGCCATTCAACATCCGCTCATAACTGGTCTGTCTGACTCGCGCGGCTCTAAGCCACCAGGATCTAACTGTTTGAACAGGACTGAATCAACTGTTGAACAGGATTAAACCACCATCCTTACCGAACCGAGGCGCCCTGTCACTATCGAATGCCCACCACCTCTGGTCCTGCCGTTTATGTTTCTGCACTGCCGAATGCAGTGCAGTATAACACGGCGGGGTTGTCAAGACCGACTCAGCCGGGATAGCTTTACCATGTCGATATGGCTTGGGCGACGTGTAGTGTACGCATGGACCTGTACTCGGGCACCGTTCTATGTCCCCAGCATGGCACGACGCCCAATGATCAGCTACTCCGGTTCACCGAAGCCAGCCGGTCGATACCGTTCAGAAGTGAGCATTGTGTGGGATGGCGGATGTTTCAACTGCTATTGTTCGAGTAACCAATGTCCTCGTGGTACTAGCGCCGGCCGTGGCACGGCGCGTCGCATGCCTCTTGAGCGGGCGCCCTGCCTTGGTAACTGCGCCTTGATGCGGATGGCCGTTTTACTACGACAGAGCGTGCCTTGAGGAGTGCACAGGCAGCACGAATGAGGGAAACGTCCTTTCGTCTTGTCGCTGGCACGCTGAAAGCGACAGCGATGTGCGCGCAGGTGATGCCGTAGTTTGGAAGAAACGTCTCCTTTCCCGATCAATGACTCCGGAAGAGCAGCCATCGATCAGACACAGCGGCGTCGTGATTGCACGGTCACGAGGGCGCCGGTTAACGCGTGGCGGGTGCCGATGCTACAGACGATGCCGTCCAGCTGGCTAACATCACCATCAGCGGTCTGCTGCCCCAGACAGAATTCTACCTTACCTACGAGGGCTCGCTCACGTGGCCCGCCTGCTTCGAGTCGGTCACCTGGATCCTGATGAACAAGCCGATCTACATCACTGTGCAACAGGTGAGCCGGCTGTCGGCGTCGGTCGATCGCCGGCTCCGACGCGACACGCGGCCCGGCACAGCATGCCGGGCCGGGTGCCGTCGCGTGGCTCGACCGGCACGTGAAGCAGAGCGCCGGAATGCGATGCCGCATTGATTTAAGGCTGGATGACTCCCGGCAATTTGACTGGGCCTGTTCAGCGTGTTGAATTGGAAAATTGGAAGAAGGATTGCTATTTTGTTGGCTTGCGATATGCATTAACATTGGATGGGAAAGTACTGCTACGTGTGCACTTTAACATGTCATGGCTCAGGAAACTACCGGCATGCAAATGTTTGGGAGTTCCGTCCGTCTTCAGGAGCTCCGCCATCTTCAGGAGTTTTACCTCCCATGAGAATGCCGCGGGCGCGCGTGGATGCGTGCACGACGGTCTTGACGTGCGCGTCTGTGGTTGCAGCTGGAGCAGCTGCGCCGTCTGAGCCAGAGTCTGGCATCGGACGCCACCAAGTCGCCGCTGGGTGACAACTACCGACGGCCGCAGCCGCTCTACCACCGGCCGGTGCGCACCAACATCGACTTCACGGGAGCCGAGGTCAGCAGAGCGCCGGCTCGCGGCAGCCGACACCGGACACGCGCGCGTCGGCTGCGCCCCGTACACTAAGGGTGGGGGCTGGTGATCCGTGCCAGGTATTATGTGCTGGCAACATTTGTCGGTGGGTGCAGTAGAAGTTGGTTGCGACAGGGAAAAGGACGGAGCAGTGTGCGTCCACCGCTGTACCTCGTCTTGCCGGTGAAAAGGGCGTACCATTGAAACGGAGCACAGGAAACTCATGATGTCTTGTAGAACAGAAGTAATTTGAGTGATGAAAGCCAGAACAAGAGCTGAAGACTGGATGTGCTCACTTCAACGGAGACTCTGTTCGTCGTCTGTATATAACACTAATTTTGTATCAGTTAGGGCTCCATGTTAAGCCATTTACAAGAAGTAGAAGAAGCAATGGTGGTAGAATGGGACCCTGATCCACGCCTTTTGTGATCTGGACAGTCACTGAACCTCCGCGCCTCGTCTGGCTGTGATTGCTGGGCTATCCCTAAATCCTAGTCCCTCCCTTAACCCAAGCCCCTCCCAAAACCTGAGCCCCTTCCTTTATCCAAGCTTCTCCCTCACCCGAGCCCCTCCCTTAACCCAAACGGAGATCGTGTCAGCCCACCCCGCGCCGATCTCGGTTGGCCGGGGCAGGCAGTACTGGAAGTCGTCAAAAGTCTTGTGCATGTCAGTCGTGAGAGAAACAGGACATGGACCAACCCCTGATGCATGCTGTTGATGAGGCCCGGGGTGGCGTCCAGCATCGCTGTCTCTGTGGATCGCTCCGGCCGAAGCTCACGTTGGTGGTCGCACAGATTACCAGGCGGTGCAAAGTATGTCACCAGCTGAGAGCAGAGACCACACCCGCGTGGCTTTTGGCCCGCCTTAGGGAGGATGACCACTAGTCGGCAGTTGTTATGATCGACCTCATGCGCAGGCTTGAGAGTAAGAATCGCGGGTGCGACTTACTCGAACTAGATCGAATGAATGCCTATTGGTAACGCTGCCCACATGGCTACCTTTATCTGGGACACGATCCTTCTATCGTATCCGGCACAATGCTCATTTTTGCCGCCCGACGCCAAACTCACCGGGCGCACTGTTCACCTGTATTGTCCGGCGCGCTTTTCACCTGTCTAATGCGGCCCGCCCTTATCTGTCCTGTCCGACACATTGTTCACATGTCTAATGCTGCTCACCCTCACTTACCCTGTCCGACACACTGCTCACCTGTCTAATGCGGCCCGCCCTTACCTGTCCTGCCCGGCGCACTTTCCACCTGTTTAATGCGGCTCACCATCACCTGTCCTGTCCGACACACTGCTCACCTGTCTAATGCGACGCGCTCTTATCTGTCGTATTCGGCACACTGCTCACCTGAACAATGCGGCTCACCCTCGCCTGTCCTGTCCGGCACACTTCTCACCTGTTTTGCTCGACGCACTACTCGCCTGTTTTATCTCGTCACACCGCTCACCGGTGTCACCCGTTGCATTACTCTCCTCTGATATCCAGCACATTGCTCACTTGTCTTGTCCGTCCCGCTGCTCACCCGTCTCACCCGGTATGCTTATCATCTATCTCACCCGGCATACTTACTGCCTATCTCACCTGGCACACGGCTTATCAGTGTCAGCCGGTTCACTGCTCACCTGCCACACCCTGTAGAGAACGCACCTGTCTTGCTCGCTAATCGCTCCGCCTCCGTTCCGTTCCAGGACGGTGCATGTCCGACGATGTACCAGAACAAACACTACGCAGGTGGGTGGGTGGCCGAGACTGGCCTGTAATCGCGCTGTCAGGCGCCGCGGCCGTCGCTGGCCCAACCTGCCGTCGGTGCCGTCGCCGCCCCCGGCCGCCGACGCGGGTCGGCGCAGCGTGCATTTTCATTAGAGCGCTTCCCGGCCGGAAAATGCCGGTCGGCGGGAGGCGTTGAATTGCGCCGTCTCCCCGGGCACCTGTGCTCGGCTGACAAACGGAGCCCGTCGCCGGCTCCGGCAGACGGCATGGCATGGTTGCATGGCGACGGGGCTGCACGGGGACGGGGCTGTATAGTGACGGGCTGGGTGACGACGGGGCTGCACAATGACGGACTGGATGACGACGGGGCTGCACAATGACGGACTGGATGACGACGGGGCTGCACGGTGACAGGCTGGGTGACGACGGGGCTGCACGGTGACAGGCTGGGGGACGAGGGCTGCACAATGACGGCTGGGTGACGACGGGGCTGCACAATGACGGACTGGTGACGACGGGGCTGCACAATGACGACTGGATGACGACGGGGCTGCACAATGACGGACTGGATGACGACGGGGCTGCACAGTGGCGGGCTGGGTGACGACGGGGCTGCACAATGACGGGCTGGATGACGACGGGGCTGCACGGGGACAGGCTGGGTGACGACGGGGCTGCACAATGACGGGCTGGATGACGACGGGGCTGCACAATGACGGGCTGGGTGACGACGGGGCTGCACAATGACGGACTGGATGACGACGGGGCTGCACGGGGACAGGCTGGGTGACGACGGGGCTGCACAATGACGGCTGGATGACGACGGGGCTGCACAATGACGGGCTGGGTGACGACGGGGCTGCACAATGACGGACTGGATGACGAGGGGCTGCACGGGGACAGGCTGGGTGACGACGGGGCTGTATGGGGACAGGCTGGGGGACGACGGGGCTGCACGGGGACAGGCTGGGTGACGACGGGGCTTTATGGGGACAGGCTGGATGACGACGGGGCTGCACGGGACAGGCTGGATGACGACGGGGCTGCACGGGGACAGGCTGGATGACGACGGGGCTGCACGGAGACAGGCTGGATGACGACGGGGCTGCACGGGGACAGGCTGGGGGACGACGGGGCTGTATGTCACCGCGATGATGCTTGCCTGGGCAGCTCAGCGTGGAAAGCGGACTGCCGGTAACGTCTCACTAGTCTCTAGTGGGACGGGTGCATGTCACAGTCCGTGTTCTCAGAGCTGCATGCTGTGCTTGGTGGCGGGGCTGGAGTGGGGCAAAGATCTGTGGCCTCGCCCGTATGAACTCCGCACACTTCTAACAATACTCACGAGTGGAAAAGAACGTTTACTGAAGTCAAAAAGGTTGCTTACTGAAGTCGAATAGGACTCTTACGGAAGTCGAATATGATGCTCACTGCAATCGAACAGAATCCTTACTAACTTCGATTGGAACAACACTGCACATTCCGTCTACTGTAGCATGACTGATAACCGACTAGGAGTTAGGCCAAATTACACGTGCCCAGCACGACGCTTGGTGGTCGCCCTGATACGTTTTGGGAGAAATGGAACTCCCGGAACTCGATCAGTCTGGGCGACACCCGGGGACTCATTTCGCGCATGACATGGGACTCCCGCCGACCGGGGATGGGCGTCGGCCGGTGTACGACCGGCGAGGGACTGGCCGGCTGCGAGTGGGGCGGGACTGGCTGAGGCTGTCAGCAGGACCGGCCGAACAGATCCGATGTCACGTGCCCGTCCTTGTTTCAGCGAATAGATGGCTGGGCACGTAGAAACGCCGGAAGTAGCCCCCCCCGGAAGTAGGTCGCGTGGGGTTGTATCCAGCGAGCGGCGAGCGCTCGTCACATCTGGGGGACGTGCTCTCCGACGAACGGACGGCGTCGAGTGATGACGAGGCCGCCTCTGAGCTCCGACGGAGGGGCGTCGAGTGATGACGGAGCCGCTCCTGAGCTCCAGAGGCACGGCAGCGGGACTCGACCAGTGCCGGTCGGGCGCGGATGCGGCGCTGCTCGAAGCACAGCCGGTGCGTCAGCAGACACATATCACGCGTTGCGTTGGTGTGGACAGAGTGGCGCGGTTGCAGAGTGGTCGTCCGGTTGGGGCCGTGCGTGCTGTTTCAGATTCCCGTTGTAAGTGTAGACTGTTGGTTACTCCACATGACAACAGCTTCCGTCGGTGCCGGGACACCGAACAGCTCAACTGCAGCGAACCTGGCAGCCGCTGTTCCTCTTTAGGCCGTGCGCACGTGTTACGGCATTAAGTGTTGCTAGCGATATAACGACATATCATTTGTGTTGTGTTGGTTATGTGACTTGTGCTGCGAGGTGCGTTCTGCCTCGCTCCCTGCAGGCCGAAAACTGTTCGCCATGCAGTTTGTAAATCAATAAGTCTACTGCTGCACTGGTATAGTGACACCCACGTCCCGATGTACGATTGACTAATAGAGCAAACACGGGTGCATGTGTGCCTTATTGCTGTGCTGGTCAGCGAACTCCTCGTCAGGTGTCAGCTCCCGTCAGCTATCAGCTCCCGTCGGCCGTCAGCTCCCGTCAGCTGTCAGCTCCCGTCGGCCGTCAGGCAGCCCGACTGTTCAGCCGTCCCACGTGGGCCGGCCGGCTCCTCCGGGACCCGCCGCGACATGTGCCCAGGAGGCGCGGTCTGAGACACGGCGGAGGCCTGCGCCGCCGCCAGGTCACCTCCGCATCAGAAGCGCCGCGGCGCGCCGAGACCGCCGGCGGTAAATCAGAGACACTGATGATTTCCCACGCGTCACATTACCGGCGCTGCATGAGTTTACAGGGGCGGGCCAATCCTGTTACAGCGACAGAGACGAACAACTCGGCGACGCGGCGCGGCCAGATTTCATGGTCATTGTGGCGCGCCCGGCGGCCGATATGGCAGCCCGGCGCGGCGCCCGTGTCAGCGGCCGGCCGAGTTTGCTAAATAAAGCCACAAGTTTGGTCGGCGGTCGGGCCAACAGGACTAAACCACCGGCTGTCGAGCCCCAACTCGCCCAAACTCGTCCGGCGGACGGCCGCGTCACGGCCTTTCGGCCCAGAGCTGGCGCTGATCAGAGCTGGCGCCATTCGCCTCGAGCTAGCTCTGATAACAGCTGGCACCACTCACCCCGGAGCCGGCACTGGTCGCAGCTCGCACCACTCGCCCCGAGCTAGCGCTGATCAGAGCTGGCGCCACTCCCCCCGAGTTGGCACCACTCGCCCCGCAGCTGGCGCTGACCACAGCTGGCAACACTCGTCACGGAGCTGGCTGTTGATCAGAGTCGGCACCACTCGCCCCAGAGCTGGCGCTGATCAGAGCTAGCGCCACTCCCCCCGAGCTGGCGCCACTCGCCCCGAGCTAGCGCTGATCATAGCTGGCACCACTCACCCCGGAGCTGGCACTGATCACAGCTGGCACCACTCGTCCCAGAGCTGGCGCTGATCAGAGCTGGCACCATTCTCCTCGGAGCTGGCAATGATCGCGTCTCTCACCACTCGCCCCGCAGCTGGCGCTGGCCACACCTGGCAACACTCGTCACGGAGCTGGCGCTGATCAGAGTCAACACCACTCGCCCGGAGCTGGCACTGATCAGAGCCGGCGCCACGCACCGCGAGCTGGCGCCACTCGCCCCCAGCCAGCGCTGATCACAGCTGGCACCATTCACCCCGGAGCTGGCGCTGATCACAGCTGGCACTACTCGCCCCGAGCTGTCGCTGATCACAGCAGGCCCCACTCGCCCCGGAGGTGGTGCGACTCGGCGTGTTGCCGAACGTACAGTCACATTTGTTGTCAACTCGTTTCCTTTCAATCCACACAGAAGTTAGGCTCCCAGACCTGGCCCTATTCCTCACCTCCACACATCCTATGCTGTAGACAACTTCGCACTGTAGTCAAATAGTTTTCGTGGACTTGACGGAGGCAAGCCAGGACCCAGGTTTTCAAAGACCACCGCTGTGCTCGGAGAGACTGTCCGACAAATCGGACCGAATGTTCGAAAATAAGACCGGCAATGAAGTGCTTGCGGTCACAAATAAGGGCCAAAGGATTTATCTACATACTTGGTGAAAGCCGTGGAAGAGCACTTATCGTTCAACTTACGTGTTTTCGCCGGCTTGATGGATGATACGGCACGTGGGAAAGCAGGACATCTTGCTGATACCACGGCTGGTACACTAACAAGAAAAGAAAACAAGAAAGAGCCGGTCTGTTCTTTAGAACTTTTTGATACTCGGTTACCTCCCTCGGATGACCTGGCTGATGGGTTAAAGCCAGATAAGGTTCTGTTTTTGCAGCTTCATGAAGTTACGGGTGACGTGGAGTAAAACTCTTTGAAGCTAAATCGCGCTGCTACTTATAACTAAAGCAGTAGATTTGGTCATAGGAGTTGATGGCGTGACCTGCTAAGAGCTTGATCCTGTGTGGCATGGAACTTATATCCATGATGTTTTTTATTGATATGTATGTGAACTAGGCGTGCACGAAGAAGTTGGCATATTTGTCCTTTCATTTTGTTCATTCTTAGTGTCACTTTGGATTTATAGACGATACAAAATATAAAGATTGTAATAAAAACAGGTATCGATATTTCTCGCAACGTCGTCTTTCAATGCGAGGCACCTTAGAATGAGTGTGTACGATGGTATTTGAGACGAAGTTTCATAGGGTGTCATTTCTTATGGAAGCAATAGAACGTCTTAATATTGACCGTTACGCTCATTACAACACGCGGTTATGCGTGGCAGCATTACATTTTCACGTCTGTGCCCTCGCACCCCAGGGCGCATACGTCACGACGCGCGTGCGGCAGCATCTTTCGCAGTGCTTCCAATTTTACTTCCTTCACCTTTCGTTTGATCCTGTTGGCTAGTTTGGATTTGCTGCTAGCTGTCCAGCTTCCCTGGTACACCACCTGCTTAAGGATGCTCTAGATTGGCTCGATGGGTCGAATGGTTGGCATATTTGGAGGATTGTCCTCCTTCGCGACGTAGGGGATCTCATTCTCATGTCCAGGCACGCGTTGATGTCTCCTTGTTAATGCGAGGTGGCCAGGTGTGGCCAGAATATACTGTCCTTAGAAGAAAGTTTGTCCAAAAATGACTTTCCGACACTTCACGCACCGCTACAGACATATTTTGTGGTTCATGCACCCCTTGCCCATGATAAAGGGCTGAAAGATACCCCACGGTTTGGTCCCGACTCATACCATGAAATAACGGAATTTTGGTTTGTCGTAGCGCTTCACGTCAGAGGAGCACCTGTTCCTATCATCCGTGTAGTGTACAAACTGTGGTTTTGTAGAGTATTCATAGTCTAATAAGCCTTGTTAGGCTCCGTTGCCTGTGGTGACGCCTTTATCTTTTTGTACGCTTAGAGGTCCATGGTAGAGCTTCATGCATTTCCTGTTTATTTCCTTCTTCTGCTCCTCTGTCTGCACTGGCGTTTTAACTTCCTTATAGCAGACCAAGCCAGCCTGTTTATGATAGTGCGATGCACGTGGACCCAACGATCTTCTATTGGGCAGCCACGGCTCACGCGGAGCTCTTTTCTTCCCCTCACTCCGCAGATGCGTGGTTTTGGATGTATTCACTAAACAGCTTTTCGACCACTTCTAAGCTTCCTTTAGACTGCCTGTCCTGAAAGGTCTTTCTAGGGCAAAGATGCAATAGAGAACAGCTAAAAATGTTTTCCAGTGAACACACCTCTCTCTTCCTTATGCTCTGTATACAATTATACAACTCGCTGAGCGACGACATGGTTCGTCCTTTCCTTTCACAATGAATGAGAGCAGTGATAATTATTTATTATTATTATTTTATATTTTATAGTTGGCAGCAATCTGGGGAAGTCTCATGTGCTTTCATACGATACTAAATGTATTCTTCTCGCTTGTCTAAGACGGCAAGCATCTATCCTGAAGCCTCGTCTAAAATTTGAGGGGACGCATGTGACAAAGCCATTCTGAAGTTGCGATGCAACATTCAGACTGGCACTTAAGCACCTGGAGCTAAGATCAGATATGTTCGGCGCGCGAATATCCAGCGTTCGTCATCATGAGGTGGGCAGACACCTGTGAACAGAAAGACAGGGAAAAGGAGGCGACTCATGTGCCAAAGCTCTGTCACTGCCTGTGCCGTACTGACGGCCGAACACCTCGCGTTGGGTTGACGACAGTACCGCCCTCTAGCGATCGCATGGTGGTTGCGTGGTGCGCCGACATATGGTGCATAAACCAAAACGTACCGCAGAGGTGAGTTATCAACGACGGCGACAACGTTCAGGAGGTGCTTTTTTATCAAGAAGTGTTCGGAAACTTTATCAGCGCGTTCTTACATACGCGCAAAATGCTAATGTGCAGATGGGTAGCGAATGGTACTTGCGGGTGACCAAATGGTTACGAAATAGTGCGCCGGTGGTTTGCACCACGCAGGATTTATTTAAACGCGACCGCACGCCTTGTTTGGTCTCGCTGATGCAAGCTTGGTGACAAGCTCGCATCAGACATGGTACACAAAGTTTCGGTTGCACATAGATCTTTTAGTTCGAGTTTACCGAAGGGGCACGCTCGGTACCCAGTATCATATGATAGGCATTTTTACAGCTCTTAGACTTGGAAAATGGAAGCACGATGCCCCACATTAATTTGACAATCTGTAAACCTCCTCGCAAGTTGGACCTTGAATGACTCATGCATGTTTTTGTGTGTCCATTGTTTAACAACCGCTACCATCGTCATCGTTACCAACCACCGTTATCGTTCAACCACCATGAGAACCGCTGGCAAGGACTGGAGCGCACCGTGCAGAAAATATATTGCTCAGTGAGAACGACGAAGTACCCGGAAAGCTTTCAATAACGAGGTCATAGCTGCGCTAACCCGATGGAGGAAAATGCTTTTAGTATTGCCAGAATGAATAATCAGTGGTACAATGAACGTTTGTAGAGCATCCGCGCCGCTAGCATCATTTGCGGTCAGTTAAATACTACTCTCGATATTACTATGCACGTTCGTAATCCCCGGCACGTGGCAGGTCGCGCATCGTCCGCAAATAGAGCGATGTGGTCAAGGGCACATACGTAAGCAAGTCCCACACACGTTAAGCCACGCGCCAAGCACTTCAAGCTGTGGCGGGCGCGTAGGCTGCTGGTGACGGCGTAGGGGCTGGGGGTGGGGTTCAGGGGGTGTGGGCGGCCATGACCCGGCTGGTCCACCTCCCCCTCCCCCGGATGACGTCTGGTGCCGACCACTGCCCAGTCCCGACCGTGAGAAGCCGAGCATGCTGTCGTGCCATTGGCCGAGTCATAAGGCGTCTGTGTGCGTTTGGTTAGTGGGTGGCAACGTGCTTTGGCCGGCTAGCTGGGCAAGCGAGCGCTAGGGCGCGGACTTAGGTAAGGCCCAGACCGGGCGATTCGCGAGGCAATCAAACGATGGACGTTATTTGC